TGATTTGGAGTAATGAAAGTCATAAAGAAGATTTCATTCACATAATTAAATTGAAATAACATTCAATATTTGCTCATTACCAAAGAAAAAGAAAAGGCTATTAAAGTTCATTATGTGTTAGCATACTTTATTAATTCAATATTAATGTGGCCCTCCATTTATAAAAAGCAATGATATTGTTTTATCTTTTCAAAAATTATGATACATAGTCGTGCCTTATAAATAATTCACATGCCCATCCACACTAGCTTCGTTCAAAACTTTGCTCTCCATTAATTACTAGAAGTTTTGAGAAACAATGGGTAGGAGGGACCTCAAGGCCAGTCTTGTATTTATGATTTCATTAGTTCTTTTCTCTTTGATGCTTCAGTGCAAAGTAGCTACCAGATTTGGCTCTAGTTTCAGCCCGGGATTATGCAATAGTTGTGAAGCAGCAGCAGCAGCCTCCGCCAGCACGGCCACCGCCGGAACACGAAAGCTTCTAAACATGGAAGATGATTACAATTCAGAAGATGAAACTCCACCCCAGAATGATTATGATTACTATAGAAGACAAGGTGATGTTCCAAGCCCTGGTGTTGGGCACTGAAAGGTGGTTGTGTTGTTAGCTATTTACTTTCAAACTTCAATATAAAATTCTTAAGTTCTTGGACTATATATATATATATATATATATATTTTCTCTTCTTGATGATATGTTCATGAACCATATATTATGTTTAATTTGTTTTTTATTTTTATTTTTTGTTAATATGAATGTATACTTTGTTGTTATTCAGTGATATTTGTATTGTAAATAAATGAATTTTAGTGGGATATGATAATAAAGTCTTGTGGGTTTTGCAAATTAATAGAGGAGCACATTGATCTTTCATATTATTTAATCAATATTATTTATTGGTAAGGCGACAAAATTAGTGTATAATTTTGTTTTCTTTGAGACCAAGACATGTATATGTTTTGAGTAATTAAATATTCTACCCCATATTTCTAGAGCACGCTTCATGATATTAGCTTGCTTTTTGTAGAAGTTGATTTTAAAGTTAGAGTAGGCCATGGTTATTAGTATCATACGATACGTAATATATATTCTATGATACGATTCAATATAGGTCATCAACGATACATATTAGAGAGTGTATCATAAACTTTTTTATACGTTGATATGTATCCTACGATACGATATGTATCCGTTCGTATCCTTCAAAATATCGATACAAATTGATACGACTTTATTAATTCAGGCTGAAGGCTCAAAAATTTTTTTGGGTCAGATCCGGGTCACCCAACCCGGTTCACTAAAACCCACCCAAATTTATCCATTTTATATAGAGAATGTAAAGAGGAACATGTGTTACTTATTTTGTATGATAATAATAATACAAATGGAGATATAAACATTGATATTGATGTTATAAATTATATGAATGGTTGAAAGGAAATGATATAGATTTTTAATTTTGTGATTAATTTTGATTATGTAATACCATAATTTAAAGCTAATAATATTACAAATTTTTTTAATTAATCTTAAGGATAATATTAATTTTAGGAAAATTTTAATTATTTTATTAATTTTTTGAAAAGACATATCCTATAATACAATACGCGATTTGACAACCATGATTATGTAATCTTGTTATGTGATCTAAATATAAATATATCATATTTTTATATCACTTGATATCTATGAATTTTTCAAACCGAAAATGCACAAAGTTTCCTTTGTGATGTTTGAGAAGTAACAAGAAGAAGGCATTTTTTTTTTTTTTTTTTGTGTGTGTAAATAATGGTATATTTCAAAGCCAAAATTCACATTAGTATTCATATGGATCGGATTCTTGGGCTTCGGCAATTAGAAATTACATGGGTTCAATTTATGAAGATTTTGACGTCCATACTTCCGAACCAGGCCTTGTTCCCTTGTACACCCAAAAAAGGAAAACATGGTTTAATTCCACTATATTATAATAAGACAAAGAAATTCTTGAGGGGTTAGCCGAGTAATTAGGTCCGTGATTTGCTCCTCCAAGGGTTGGGTTCAAGTCCTCTCTCATGGCCAAAGAACATTCTTTTTTGGTTTTCAAAATCAATTTCGTAAATTAAGGTCTCAAGATTTAGAAAAATATATTAAAATCATGTATTTTTGTAGTGTTAATAAAAGTCTTTATGACTCACGTTAAGACCACAGCCTTCACTTTATTTACCCAATTATTTTTGGGTTAATGGTTTGTTGAAAACCATAAAAAGATAGTGGTACACAATTGGAAGGTACTTGATATTTTGGGGAAGCAGAGTGGACTTCAGAATTGGAGCCGGGGCCCGGCCTAGAGTCCCCATCTACACATGCCCATGCCTCCTGGCTGCAGCCTACTTGATGATGTTGCCAGTTATGGGCTGGGTATGGTCCCGTCTCATCAATATCACCCTCCAATTCACAGTTGGCACTGTACCCTACTACATTTATGACTGTTATCGTCAGGTTACCATCTCTAATTTCATCCCAATTTTTAAAAATAAAAATTTCACGATATTATCTCTCTGTAGGTATAAAGTTATATATACAAATTAGTACATCACGCTATAATTAAAAGAGTAAACGTATAAAAGTCAATTATAAACTAAGAAGAATGTGCGAAAATGAAAGAATAATATCACGTTAAATTAGTCAAAGAAATTATTATTCACGTAAAGTATCAAAGTATTATTCACGTAATTTAAATAACTTCAATGGTTTTACAAAATTGTATAGTGTATGGTTTTTTATATGTTAAATAAACAAGTTTAGGTAAAACTTAAAATCAAAACCTAACTCAAGGACACATCTTTGATAAACAGTCTCAAACACATATATGTATCATAACAACATATTAAATTTATGTTCGGAGATATGTCACAAATACAATTGTTAACACCCCTTCACGCTTGACATGCATGACAGGTCTATACCAAAGCCCACAATCGCCCGAAACAAACATGGGATGATACCATGATAAAAGGGTTTGAGTTGAATTCACTCTAAAAGACTAGTTTAAAAAAGTAGGGAATCCAAACACACATATACACTATAACAATCTACCAAATTAACATTGTGAGAAAAATACAATTTCTATTATATATTATTTTGAGTGCTTGAGAATATTCTTTTTAACTAGAATAATTTTCTTTTGAAATTAATGGGTAGGAAATAATGTGAATTTGGAATTGGTGTCCAAGCCGTGCTCTAAATTTCAAACTCATAACTTAATCTAAAAAAAAAAAATAAAAAAAAAAAGAAAGAAAAGCCTTTACGCGTTTTGACAAACATTCTAGAAGATAAGAAATTACCTTAATTAAACAAATTAACTTATCCTAAATCACCATCCTTTTCCCACATATTCCCTTGAATACTAGTTATATCTCATAATCTTAATTAAGTTACGTCATGAACCAAAATGGTATTGGAGATCCCACTAGACACACTCAAGTCAATGAGTTTATAAGAGTGGATAATCTTTCCATTCAATAAGACCTTTTAGGTGAAGAGTTAGATTTAATTCTAACAAGTGGTCAGTCCCATTTGAGTTGAGTGATTGACCTACGGTGGGCTGTCAAACTACCTCTATTCATAGGCAAATGGACTATATGGGTTTGACCGTGAAAGAGAGTGTTAGAGATCCTATATCGATTAAACACGCTCAAGCCAATGAGTTTATAAGAATGAACAATCCTCCCACTTAATAAGACATTTTGGTGAGGATTTAGGCTCAACTCCAACAAATTACACCTCGTCCAATTGGGTAGTGCGCTATTTGTAATTGATTTCTAATTACAAATGGGTTCAAGTTTTGTGGTATAAATTCCATGCAATGCATAGAACAACACAAAAATTGGCATCTTTGAAGAAGCATACGCCGGCTAAGCAAGAATAATATAGATTAATAAATAAATGAAAAAATAGTACAGAGTAACTCAGCAGAAAGCTGCATATTCCTTGTTTGTTTATTCTTTTGGGATACATACGCAGATTTGAGTTCCATTACTACACACTAACCTACATCCCATCACATGCACTTTCACTTTTTCAATGTTTTAATTAATTATTCTACATTATGTGCATTAATGTTTAATTTTATAAACATGGGTTTACGTATATGAAAATGGTGATATTTAGGATGTGGGGAGATCTTTTTTGAGGATTTGGTTTATCTTTCTTGATTTTTATTCTCATATAAATAAATTACTGAACAACATTCGATCGCCACCATTGTCGGTTGTTGTAATAGCTTAAACAGCTTTGTGTCTTGTTCATTTAACCTTCAAAACCGGACAGACTGACCATTCTTTGCTGTCTTTACAATCTCTATGCACGTACTTAAGTTTATATAATAAACTACTTCAACTCATAACTAGCTAGCTCAGCTAGTTTCCCAATTCCAACTTCACTTCCTTTAGTATCAGTTGAATGGCAACCACATATGTGCCTTGTTTCAATTGGTTTATTCATTCGTATAGATCTGTGATGTAATCCCTTCATTAGTTGCGGGAACTTCAAGAAGATAACAGAAACAGTTTCCAATGCCATGGAAAGTTGGAGGTACCTTAAAGTTTATATTTTTGTTTTAATTTACAGCTTGAAGTTCTTCCCTGTTTTCTTAGTTTCTAAAAGTATGAGAAGGGTGATAGAGGGCTGGAGGTCACTATCTGTTATGGTGAAAAACCTCATAACGTGATGGAAGATGATGTAACCCAAACGTTGTTCATCTAGAATGATGAATAGGACAAATTAAAAGTGGGTCATAAATGGTAGGCCCAGTAGTGTCTTAAGATTACCAAAACACATAAAGGCTGAGCTTTTATTGTTGTGATAATGGAGTTTAGGAGCAATAATGAAGATACTATTATCTGCATTTCAAGTAAGAGCATTTTCGTATCATATTGATTGCTTTTTAAGTTATAAACTCTTGCAGGCGCAAAAGAGAGTGAAAAGGGTTGCTTCAGGTAGGTGGTGATTTGAAAAACACCCAATTCTTGTTTTCCTCAAATGAATAATTAAAGTGAGTGTGTTTGGTTTCGTGGGGAATTGAGAGAGAGGGAGAGAGAAAAGCGGGGCGTTAAAAACATGGGCTTTAAAATCAGCTTTAATTTCGTGGGCTCTTATGGTAGGTGATAGTGGAGGTGAAGATGTGAAGATTTTCCTTTGTTTGTGAAAGAAAGAAAGTAACTGATGCTTGAGATCACGTGACTGCCCTTTTCTCTGCCATAACGAAAGATTCTCTTTCAAAAATGTTGTAACTTCTTTTTCATAAACTGTGTACATTTGCACAGTGGTGATGGTGGTCGGTGGAATCTGTTGTAATGTGTTTTTAAGTCTTGTTTTTTCTCTGTTTCTTTTGTCTTTTTGTGGCTGCTTAATTCAGTCCATGAGTTCAATGTTTGTTCTTGGACCTTTTGCTTGATTGAATTGTAAGGAAGTTAGGTGAGGGCAAAGGAAAAAGATAAGGGTAAATTAAAACACCAAGTACTGTTAGAGGGAGCAAAATAAATTAGTGTTCTTTGTATATTTATGGCTTCTGGACTTTTCCAGATAATTTTACAGTTCTTTTAGTTTGAGCTGCGCTAATTTTTTTGGGGTTCAAGATTTTTCTTTTTTACCACTTGGGTTTATGTTTTCTTTCTTTTTCCTAAAATTTCACAAAAGGATTTTCTCAATTTTCCAGGAGTTTGGGGGATGTGATAGTCTGATAGAGGTATGGTAGGCATGTGTCTTTATTATTGGAAAGCGGGTTAATGTGCTCTGCTTTTATTTCCTCTATAAGCGGGTTCAAACTGGGGATGTTTAATGGGTTTTGATATTTTCATCGAGGATTTCGCAGTTTTGTTTTGAAAGTTTTCATTTTTTTAAGTGTTTTATCAAGGGTTTTATTGTTTCAGTGCAGATCTGCTGATAACTGTGTTCAAAAGCAGAAATTTGCGGTGAAGATTAAGGAACAATTATCATGGATCTTGAATATGGGAAGTGTTGGGATGCTTCAAAGGTTAGTACAATTAAGTTTTTGAGTTTAATATTTGGATCTGTTCAGTACATTCAAATTGCATATTTTATATATATATTGTGGCTTTACTTATATAGAGCTTCTGGCTATTTGGTTTATTATAATGGGTTTAGTGTATAGTTATAACTTGGTTAAATAATATGGTTTTTTGTAACTGAGCTGAATTTTAAAGAAAATTTGCTTGTTGAATTGCACTGCAGAAGGATTCTTGGAAGACAATATTGATTTTAGCATATCAAAGCCTTGGTGTAGTATATGGGGACCTGGGCATTTCCCCACTGTATGTTTACAAGAGTACATTTGCAGAAGACATTCAACATTCAGAGACAAATGAAGAAATTTATGGGGTTTTATCTTTTGTCTTTTGGACTCTAACTTTGGTCCCCTTATTCAAGTATGTTTTTATAGTCCTTCGAGCTGATGACAATGGGGAGGGTAAGTGCCTTGATGATTAACAACAGCATACTGCATATATCGACTGGTTTTGGGATTGTAACCTTATATGCATTTTCCAGGTGGTACTTTTGCCTTGTATTCATTGATATGCCGACATGCCAAAGTAAGCCTTCTGCCCAACAGACAGGCTGCTGATGAAGCCGTCTCTACATATAAAATGGAGCAACCACCAGAGAAGTACAACAGCTCGAGGGTGAAAATCTATCTTGAGAAGCACAAGTTCTTGCATACTGCTTTGCTTATCTTGGTTCTTCTTGGCACTTGTATGGTAATTGGAGATGGACTTCTTACTCCAGCCATATCTGGTAAATTTATTTCCTATAAAACTTTAATCATCAACTGTTTTCTCCCAGTTTGCTGACTCTAAATTTCTATTCTGTTGTGTAGTTTTCTCTGCAGTGTCTGGTCTTGAGTTTTTCATGTCCAAGGAACATCACCACTGTAAGTTTTTCTGCTTGTAGTTTATCTTATGACCTATTATACT